ACTGTAAGAGCTGCCATACGTACTTGAAAGAGAACTCTCTGCCATCCACTCATCCATCCCAACCATCTGTCCCATGAATTGGAGACCCCGGAGTTCTTTTTTAATTAGGCAGAGAGACTTTCTAATTTCTCTATGGCCATTGTTACTTTACCATTGGGGCCTGTATTATCTGGGATGAAGGTACAGCATGTCATAGTGTCGGGGAGTATTTTACACACACCCCCCTTTTCTGCTAGGATCATGTCTAAGGCCATTCGATTCTGGAATGTCATTTGGGAGGTAGCCTGCAATTGTTCTGCCAAGCCTTGAAGGGCATCTCTAGTATAATTGACAAAACGTTTCTGATTATAATAGATATAATTAATCCAGTTAACATTCTTGTTAGCGGTGATGAGTGGGATCAAGGATTCGAATCCTGCCACAACCTCATCTCTGGCCTTGAACTCGTTTGGTACCCCCCTTGGTACACCTATGGCATCGATATATATATATGTGGGTCGAAATTACCTTAAATAGGGGTTTCTCTTTTTATCCTGAAGTACGTGTGTGGGGAATCAAGTCGGCCTTGGTGGTTATCAGAAATTATATGTATAGGCATGATGGCTTTGGTCAGAGTGCATTCTCCCCACCACAGGCCAGTCATTTTAGATTGGAGTGGCATATCACCACATAGCCAATAAATGTCTCCCAAGGACTTGACTTGATTTAGCAATAAGGTAGTGGGAGGTGTCCGATAGGTGGCACAGTAGCCGGGAGGGAAACTACTCACAAATTTACCTGTGGTTCCGTGTATAGTGTAGCAAGTGTAATTACGTGGATACACAGTGATTCCATCAAGTGGCCTGAGATTCCCTTGAGTTATTGGATATGCCTTTTTCCATGATGCACATACTGATGAGTTTGTGGCTGATTGTACATTGAGGCTTAGAAAACACATCTCAACATCGGGGGTAGATTAAAAGGCACTGTACCCAGATGGGGTCTGGCCCCGCCACAGACATAACAGTTAGTTTTATTGTGTGAATTAGCATTATACCTCATCCACTCGAGCCATAGGTTGGTATCTGAAAACTCGGTCTCCACAGCCATAGTGTCCTCGAATGTAGGATTGGCAATTACCACCATGTCCTTAAGAGATTTAATGTGTGGTTTTAGAGGGTTCGTGATCATGTGTGTAGTAGAGTCTACCCAGTCAGGTGATGTATGCAAGTCTTGTAAATAGAAGGTCCCCAACTTGTTATATGAGCCACCCCCTCTCCAGTACATCCCCATTACATACTCTCAAGTGTCTCCTGGGCTGGAATGTTCTATGTTTAAGGTGAGTTTCATTGGGGTAGACCCTGTTGGCTTACATAAGGTCATTCTGTGTAATAAGAGTTTTCAATGTCTGTCCACCCTATCCAAGGCGCTTTGTGGTCTGTAGCCCCATGGTCGGCCTATGTTCCAGCCTGCTGCTTTCCAGGTACTACAATGATGTCCCCAATGGTTACCTGTCACACAAATGTATGGGTCCTTTCTATTGGGTATGTCTTTGTACATTGCTCAGTGTTGTGATTGTGGAAAAGTACAAGGAACAATATCACAGTAATCAAAGAGTTATACCAGAATGTGTAAACACAATTATCTTTGGTGATAGCAACTTGTTGGGTCTTTAATAGGCCTAGCAGGAACTTTCTTACAGTGCGAGGCATGTATCCAGGTATTCTTACCAGCCAATTTTACCGAGGTAGACGTGGTCAATAGGACTTGGAATGGACCATCAAACCTTGGCTCAAGAGTGTGCTTTCTCAAGAATTTCTTGACCATAACCCAGTCACCAGGAAGGAGTTTATGTGTACCTGTGTTTGATTCTGGATCTGGAATAGAAGAAAACACCTGTGCATGGATTTTGGTCTAGGCACGAGAGAGTGCAGTTATATAATCTACCATTGCATCTGAATGAATTTGAAGTTGTTGAGGAAAATAACAGCCTAACATGGGTGCTGTACCAAATAAAATCTCGTAGGGGGATAAACTAAATCTCCCTCTTGGAGTGTACCTTACACTAAATAGTGCTATGGGAAGACTTTCCGGCCAGGGTAGGTTAGTTTCTTGGGGCATCTTAAGCATTCTGGCTTTCAAGGTGCCATTCATGCCTTCAACCTTACCACTACTCTGTAGGTGATAGGGTGTGTGGAATGCAAGGGTCACCCCCAGTGCTGCCCAGATTTCCCTGGTTAGCAACATGGTGAAGGATGTTCCCTGGTCACTTTCAATCACCTCAGGAACTCCATATCTGCAGATGATTTTGGTAAGTAGGCGCTTTGCTGTGGTTTTAGCAGTGAGATTAGTGACAGGAAAAGCCTCTGGCCATTCTGAAAACATATCCACTATAACCAGTGCATATTCATACCGGCCACTTTTTGGCATTTGGATATGATCAATTTGGATCCTTTGGAAAGGGTACTGTGGCTTGGCCAAATGGTTTGGTGCGGCTTTAATTATTTTTCCCGGATTACATCTGGCGCAGATAGTACAGGATCTGCAGTAATTTCTTGTCAAAGTAGTGATTCCGGGTGCCTCAAAATATTTATCAATCAGGGAGTTCATGAGGTGCTTGGATAAATGGGCTGGTCCATGGGCCCACTGAACGACAGGTGGGTACATATTCTTGGGTAGACAGAATTTGAGGTTGATTGTGTACACTTCATTCTGGAGGGTTGCCCCTTTATCTTTACAACTTTGTTTTTCCTGAAGGGTGGCAGTGGCCTGTTGTTCTCTCAGGAGCTTGAGATCGGTAGGTAGGGTTTTCATAGTGTAAATAGGAGTCTGTTCAACGGGTACTCTTCTGTCCACTTCCCGACACTGGCATGCCGCATCTTTAGCAGCCTGATTGGCTAAGTAATTGCCACATGCTTCTTCTGAATTCAATCTCCCGTGGGCCTTTACCCCTTTTCAGGGAGCAGTAAGGCATCCATTAATTAGTTGATAGCTGTGCCATGTTTCACCGGAGTACCTGCTGCCGTAAGAAACCCTCTTGTTTTCCAGATTAAGCCAAAATCATGCGCTACGCCCAGGGCATACCTCGAGTTTGTATAGATGCTAACACGCTTCCCTTCAGACATCTTACATGCTGCTGTATTAGTTCGGCTTCTTGTGCTGACTTAGATGATGGAAGTGAAGATGCTTGGAGTACTCAGTATTCTGTGGTGACAGCATATTCGGTATGATATTGTCCCTGTACGTCGGCAAATCTAGAACCATCCACAAACAGGGCGAAGTCAGGATCTGGCAGAGCAGCCTCGTGCACCGTTGGGAGATGGGTTGTCTCCATTTTCATCTGTTCAAAACAGTCATGAGGGGCATCCGGGTCCTGTTCTGTAGGAGGGATACATATCTCTGTGCGATATCGAGGGTGACCGACTGTTTTGCAATTTATGGTCCTTTTAGCGACCCCCGTCAATATGAGCTGTTCTTGAGTTGCGGTACTCCATGTTTTGGCCATTGGGCCGAGTTCTTTCCGTGAGAGATTCGGAGATTTGGTGAAAGAGATATGAGGAACTGCCATCTCCCAGTGGTGGTATAAATGTGACACCTCCATGGGCAGGTAGACCAAGATAACAGTATTTCCTCCAGAGTCACAGAACAGGTCTGTCAAGGTGATGCGTATTTCCACCAGGCTGAATAATTCTTCATAGTATGGGTCAGGACCTGGGGTATTCCTGAACCACAGGGTGCAATGTAAGTAGCCTTTAGGTTGTTCGTCATGTGGTACCATGGGCTTTTTCACTTGAAGGTCCATCAGGATTTATGTCCAGACTGTACCAGTATTGTGGTACTCCAGACTGTACCAGTATTGTGGTACTCCCCCCTTGGGAAGTGGCAGAAGAGTGGCCGGGTTCAAAGAGTAACACCTTTGTAGAGTGACGTTATCAGGCAAGAGGAGGGAGGTTTGAAGGCGGAGGTGTCTCTGGGAGGAGAGATGTTTCGAGTGGACTTGCTTCAGGATGGTCATGATATCATGGGGAGCAAGGACAGTGAGTTTATGTTCGAGAACAAAGTCATTAGTTTTGTCCAGCAGGGCACTGGCAGCAAACACAGCACGTAAATAAGAAGGACCACGGGGTCCAGCATGCATGAAAAATAACCAATAGGGTGTTGACGGAACCATGTAATTGTGTAAGGACCCCTGAAACATGGCCCATCTTTTCAGAGACAAAAAGTTTGAATGGTTGCTGATAGTTAGGTAGGCCCAAAGCTGGGGCAGAGGAGATGGCCCTTTGAAGGGCATAGTAGCAGGAGCAAGCTTGTAAAGACAATGAGAATGGTTCAGTCTTCAAGGCATCATAGAGAGGTTGCATGAGCTGAGAAGCCTCAGGGATCCAAGACCTGCAGTATGTGATGAGGCCCAAGAAGGCATGAAGAGCTTGGTGAGTAGACGGGAGAGAGAGATTGGTAATAGCAAGTACTCTGTTCTTTGTTAGGTGATGGGTGCCATGGGAAAGGAGACCACATAGGGGCCGGCACCACTGAAGTTTTGTTCTGGAGGCTTTACATCCTTCTTCAGCGAGGAAACAAAGGAGATCTTCGGAATTTTGTTCAGCAGTTGGAAGATCATCCGCACAGAGGAGTACATCATCCACATACTGGAGCAGGACCACGTCAGGATGAGACTTCTGCCAAGGTTCTATGACAGTTGACATAGCTTTGGCGAATTGAGTATAGTGATGTACCGAACGGTTCGCTGGCGAACGGTTCCTGGCGAACATAGCATGTTCGCGTTCGCCACGGCGGGCGAACATATGCGCGGTTCGACCCGCCCCCTATTCGTCATCATTGAGTAAACTTTGACCCTGTACCTTGAAAGGTAAATCTGCTACTCTGGTGACTCGGTCCCTCTGGTCACTATTCTCCAACCCTCGATTGTCAGCTGAATATTCAGGGAAGATTTTTATGGAAGCGCATTAACCAGACGCACACTCTTTGCTTTCCATAATCTTCTGACCGTTTATTCAAGATTCGCTATATTTATACTATACTTGTCACGAATATTGGTTACAAAAGGTTACAAAAAGGTTACACAAGATACATAAAAGAGGAAGTAGTTTCTGCTGTTACATTCAATAATCTAATCTTACAAAATATCACATATACATTGTGGTTAGGCATTTCCTGATACATAGAAACTGTCATAGCTTGTGACTTCCTTTCAATTATGTTTTGCAAACAGTTCTGAAATACTGACAGATTAATTGTTTAACCCCTAAGGACCAAATTTCTGGAATAAAAGGGAATCATGACATGTCATGTGTCCTTAAGGGGTCAATATTCCTTCATTTCCCCCTCTTTGAGCAATATCTTGCTCATACCCTATTTAAGGAGTCCTGGTCAGACAACCAGCCATCTGCCATGGTATATTCAGGATTGCTAGCCAATCCTGCAGGTCTTTCATTATGTCTTCGGCCACTATTCCCATAGCATAGGACTAGGCATCTGACCAGTACCACAAACTTCATAGCAAGCTGGGGATTTTACAGGAACAGTGTTGCGTGTATGTTTGTAAATGCAGAATACAATAATCTTGAAAATAGCATAAACAAGTAGAGCAAGGATCAGAACCATAACAATAATTATTGCAATATTCTTTAGCTAGTCTAGGATACTGTCAAACTTAAACATATCTGCCCATGGGTGATCAATACCTGAATTCCTCTTCATTTCTATGGACAGGTCTTCTAATTTCTTTATATCTAGGGTTACTTTACCATTAGGGCCAGTGTTCTCTGCAATATAGGTACAACAAACACCGGAGTCAAGTAATTTACAGACTCCTCCCTTTTCTGCTAAAATCATATCAAGGGCCATTCTATTCTGGAAAGTCATTTGTGAGGTAGCCTGTAATTGTTCAGCAAGACCTTGTAATGCATCTCGTGTATAATTTACAAATCTTTGCTGATTATAATATATATAATTAATCCAGTTAACATTCTTGTTAGCTGTTATAATGGGAAATATTGATTCAAATCCTGCTGCCACCTCGTCTCTAGCTTTAAATTCATTAGGGACCCCTCTTGGAATACCAATGGCATCTAGATAGATATGTGGGTCGAAACTACCTTGTGGGGATTCCCTTTTCCTTCTTGTGGAATAAGTTACAACCTTAATTTCAGGGAGAGAGTCGCCAAATATATGGAGGGGCATGATTATTTTGGCTGGGGCACATTCTCCTCTCCAGGGGGTGGGGAGTCTAGAACGTATTTTCATATAGATTGTGTTTGATTCACTAAGGTAATATTACTGTAGGCGGAGCAGAATCCTGAAGAAAAGTTATCAACAAATATAATTACCAGGGTATACTGAGACAACATCATTTAATTTAAACTTGGGTTCACCAATAGGGTGACCCTTTTTCCATTCTTCACATTCTGTAGTATTAACAGTAGTACCTGAAAACAAACTTAGGAAACATTCCCAGTACTCATCAGGGACATGTAAGGATACAGTTCCTAGTTGAGGTCTGGCACTACCACATACATAACAGTTTGACCTATTGTTGGAATGGGCATTATATCTCATCCATTCCAGCCATAGGTTTGTATCTGCATACCCTGTTTCTAACGCTATGGTATCTCCAAACGTGGGATCTGCTATGGCCATCATATAACCAAGGGTTTGAATGTGGGGCTTTAGAGGATTAACAAGAGTTTGTCTAGAGGTAAAATATTTAAGGTAAATTTCATGGAGTGCCCAGTTTGCCCTATAGGGGTACATGTACCTAGCTTTGTTAGGGTCATTCTAGTCAAGAGGGACTTCCCATTCGTATCCTTTTTATCTAATGCATTCTGTGGCTTATTAACCCCAATCTGTCCCGGTGTTCCATCCAACTGAGCCCCAATAATCACAATTGTTACCCCTCTTTGAGCAATATATATTGCTCATATCATCGGTTAACATTCTCCCAAGACAGAGAAATTTCCACATTATGGCATTCCCAAGCAATCATGTGGTCTACAAGAAACAGAAACTCAGCAGAAAAAAAACAAAACAAAAACCACTTAATACTTTTGCAGACAGATATATAGAAAATGGATGTTTAAGACAGAATGGAACTTGGGCTTATAGCAACTATATTTTTGCACAACCAGGACCTTGCGTCCTATATTTTTTAACCATTTCCCTATTCCAAAAGTCCAGTCAAAACCAGTCATATCCTCACGCAGTTCCTCAAAACATGGGAATCCATCCTTGGCACACTCAACATATATCAAAAACACACATAGTACATCCATCCCTGGGTCAGCTAACACTTCCTCTCTCTCTGGCTAACTCTACAAAAATAAAAATAAAAATAGTTCAATAGGTCAGCATAGTTCAGAAAAATAGAATAAGTCTTTCACAGAGTATAAAGAAATCAGTTTAGACACCAGACATTTTGTTCCATAAAAATGGCTAAGGGTAGCAATATGGCTGACAACAAGACAATGTCAGCTTCCATATAGTTCTTAGTTCTTCTTTTGTTTGCTGGATTTTCACCACAAAGCTCTGTACAACACCCCAATGGTTGAAAGGGTTATTACAGAACCAGCGGTATTAGACAGCACTGCACCTTCAGGACTTTCCAGGTTCTTGCATGCAAAGTTTATGTCCTCATAAATAAGTATCTCAGTTTCTTCGGCCTGCATGGATAATGACCAAACAGACGTAATTGCAAAATACTTATTGCATGGTCAGCCAGAGAGATTGGTGTGTAGTCCCAGAAATCAGGCGGCACAAACACTCCAGGACGGTCTCTACAATCATACAAACACAAGGATCAATACAACATCATTAATTAATTACCTAGGCTAAAACTTAAATTAGAGATTAAGGTTAAACCCTTAATTTGTGTAACATGTCTTCTATAAAGTTTTACATAATATCCCTTTGGAATGCCTTTGTACGGA